TGATGTTAATACGAATCATAATTACCAGTACAACAACTGATTTCCTCTTTTCAGCCAAATTAAGGTCAAATAAAGGGTACAATGGACGTATTTGTCCGGAAGGCCATTTCACAAGGGCCTTGGTCCGATGTGACTCTGTTCATTTATACCTGAAATTGATTGTTCCACAGAAAGCTTATACAATTTGCTACCAGATGGCGCCATTAAAGGGACAATAACACTCTTGCTGGCTTGACAGCTCCAGAAAATAAAAAATAGCCTTATTCTAAGAACTAGATGTGTTAGTGTCCTACCTGTTGTGTAAATTATCCATTAAATCCTATTTTACTTGTCCAAAGGGTTCAAAAATATTTTTAAATCCAAGTCACATTTGAAAAGCTTTACGTCAGGCTTTTCAAATCATTTAGTTGAATTTTTCCAATTTTTTAAATTAGGTGTGTTAAGATGAAATTTGTATCATCAATTAATTGGAATACTGTAAAATAGTACAATTTGTTGACCAGAATAAAGATTGGGACATATTATTCAGTTACAACATGAGTGGAATTGAGCCTTTAACTGGGGTTAGTTGAAAAAGTGACTTAGATCGTTCTTCCCCAGGGCTCTTCAAATGTTATACAGTTGGCTTTTAGTAAGTGCAGGGGGACTGCACCACACACAATTACACAGAACAAATCTACGGACAAGTCACAATACGCAGAAATCACAAACAAACTTACATATCAGATTAAGTGAATAGATCCGGGGGATAGCTGTAAGCATCCACTGCGCTGTACAGTCCCGGGCCTGTAGTGATACAGGCTATACTCAATAATTGAAAACTGCAAATTCCAACTGTTAATGGTGTTGTGGGGTGGGGGGGTTGTGTGAGTGGCCGAATGATTAGCGTGTGTGCGTTGTATCACATAAGATCTGTCATTGAATCAACTGGCGTGGTTTCGATTCCCCGGTTGAACATGACAAGGAGTAGGGTCGCCTGCCCAACCTTGTGGGTTTTCTTCGAGTTCTCCGGTTTCCTCCCATTGCTAAAGACTCCTACACGCAAGCGAATTATTAAGATAAAATTCAACCATGTGTTAGTCCCAAAATGACCTAGTTTGTGTCATGGACATTAAACCCATGAGTTTAAAAATTAACAAAAACTGAAAGTATTTTATTAATCTCACTATTTAGGAGAGCGTTTTAGCTAATTTGCAGGAGTCTTTAATGACTCGGGGGGTTGGATGGCTGAATGGTTAGCATGTGCGCGCTGTATCATTAAGTCTGTCATTGAGTCAGCTGGCGTGGTTTCGAATCCCCGGTTGTACGTGACAAGGAGTAGGGTGGCCTGTCCAACCTTGTGGGTTTTCTCCGGGTCCTCCGGTTTCCTCCCACTGCTAAAGACCCCTACGCGCAAGCGAATTATGGAAATTAAATTGAACCATATGTTAGTCCCGAAATGACCTAGTTTGTGTTGAGTGGACGTTAAACCCCATTTTTCTCTCTCTCTCTTAAACTAGCACCTTTCTCACCGGAGGATCACGGTAACTAAGTGGGTAAGGCGCTGGCTCGCTAGCCTGGAGGTCGGGTGTTCGATCCCTGCATTGGCCGAGAAAGTTCATCCTGTTTTTCCGGCGTGGTTCCCCCTTGTCAGGGATGCAGGACGGAGGGCCTGACAAAGACAGCTGTCTAGTCATTCGGATGAGACGAAAAACCGAGGTCCAGTGTACACATTGGCAATGGCATGCACGTAAAAGATCCCTTGACAGTTGGAATTCGATATAAGAGTAGGCCGTAGTGCCGCTGTCCGGGCAAAATTTCCCTCATAGCACACTGTATGGCGTATGCCCGTCTTCATTAGCCCAGTTTGGAGCAAAACAGTAGGACGTTAAACCTCATTTCATTTCATTTCATTTCACCTTTCTCACCAAGCCATCAGTCTGGAAGATTAAAAGTTATCTTTCATGAAGTACCACCTGCCATTAGATAATAAGAACTGGAGCCGCCTGGGCCGAATGTTCACATGTATATTAATGGTATAAGAATCTATATATACAGCGTTGTGTTTTGGTCATGGTGGGCAATAGAGATTAAAAGATCCCTTGACAGTTGGAATTCGATATAAGAGTAGGCCGTAGTGCCGCTGTCCGGGCAAAATTTCCCTCATAGCACACTGTATGGCGTATGCCCGTCTTCATTAGCCCAGTTCGGAGCAAAACAGTAGGACGTTAAACCTCATTTCATTTCACCTTTCTCACCAAGCCATCAGTCTGGAAGATTAAAAGTTATCTTTCATGAAGTACCACCTGCCATTAGATAATAAGAACTGGAGCCGCCTGGGCCGAATGTTCACATGTATATTAATGGTATAAGAATCTATATATACAGCGTTGTGTTTTGGTCATGGGGGGCAATAGAGATTAAAAGTTATTAGATATTATACTTACCACCTACCATTCAATAATAGGAAATGGAGCTGCCTGGGCCGAATGTTCACATATATATTAATGGTATAATAATTTATATATAGCGTTTTGTTTTGGTCATGGGTTCAAGGGAGATTAAATGTTATCAGTTATTATACTTACCACCTACCATTCAATAATTGAAAATGGAGCCGCCTGGGCCGAATGTTCACATATCTATTAATGGTATAATTTATATATAGCGTTTTGTTTTTGTCGTGGGAGCAAGGGAGATTAAAAGTTATCAGTTATTATACTTACCACCTACCATTAGATAATAGGAAATGGAGCCGCCTGGGCTGAAAGTTTACATTTATTATTGTTATTATATTTATCATATAGTCAGACAGGTTTCTGTTAAACAGCGGGACTGCCATAATCCATACCAAGTAAATAAAATAAATTATTTTCTTAATCTCATCCAGACACTCAGAATTTATCTACATCAACAATTCTGGCTTCTGGCAGCCTGATCTTTTAAGACACTGACTTTTATTCTCTGCTCCCCAGGAGATGTCAAAACTAATTCATGGTGGATTTTATAAACATGAAAAATGGCTGCTGGTTCTGAAGAACTTGCCTTTTGATCTTGATGTTGATTGAGAATGGAGTGTTTTGGGTTAACTGGTTTTCTTGATTATTAAATTTGAAAAATGTAGTTTTTATTGTATTGTTGTTACCACTGTCTGTTGGTTCTTTCATTGACCATGACTGAGATAAGGGTATTAGAAATGTAACAAAAAAATTGAATAAAAAGCAATCGTGAAGGGGTTAGCAAAAACAACCGATTTTGATAAGAATTTTTTTTTTTAACTTTTTTTTGTCTAGGGTGCAGTCTTCCTGCATGAACTAACAGACAGTTGGCAATAATGTGTCTGTCAGATTTAGTGCTTGTATCAGGGGGTTATAACTTTTTTTAACTTTTTTTTGTCTAGGGTGCAGTCTTCCTGCATGAACTAACAGACAGTTGGCAATAATGTGTCTGTCAGATTTAGTGCTTGTATCAGGGGGTTATATTGAGTGGCTCAGTGAGTATGATGTTGACTCGCCATCCCAGAGAGCAGAGTTCCCGTAAAGTAGAGTTAAATAGGGAATTTTGTTTGTTATGTTCAGTGGCTCAGTGAATACCAGGAGGACGTAGATCCTGATTGCGATCCCTTCTTGGTCGAGTGAGTTCATCAGGATTTTCTGACGTGGTTCCCCCTTGTCAGGGGTGCACGTGAAAGAACCCTTGACAGTTGAATTTTAAATTAAGAGTAGGCCTGTCTTCATTAGTCGAGTCGGTACAGAAAGGTAGAGCTATAAAACCTCATTTGATTTTGTTATAATGAAACTGTTTATCTATCAGATATTGTTAAGTCTCAGACATTGTTAAGTCTAACTGCTGTGAAGGAAATTACTGAAATCATATTAATCCATGCCCTAATAGCTTATGGAAATGAACAAACACAGGAGGGAGGGCAATAGAACATTAATCCATAGCTAATAGCTTATGGAAATGAACAAATTAATTTGCCAACCATAAAATGCCTACTCTAGACTGTGCCCGGTGTGCCCCCTCTAAAAACTTCACTGCCACTCCGAAGCCAGCAAGCTGGCCACAGGCCTGAACCCCGGTCATTTCATTTGTCGGGTTTTCTGCCTTGGTTACTCCTTTTCAGTGGTGCAGGACCGTGGGCCTGGCAAGGGAAAACCTACAGTCGTTGGGATGAGACAAAAACAAAGGAATTTTCCCTCAAAGCACACTGTATGCCATATGCCCATCTTCATTAGCCCAGTCGGAGTTGAATAGATTTAAACCACATTTCATTTCATTTGGGGAGGGGGGGGGCGCGAATGGTTAGTATGTGTGCATGGTATCATTAGGTCTGTCATTGAGTCAACTGGCATGGTTTTGATTCCCTGGTTTAACGTGACAAGGAGTAGGGTTGTCTGTCTAACCTTGTTGGTTTTCTCCAGGTCCTCCGGTTTCCTCCCATTATTAAAGACCCCTACGTGCAAGCGAAATATTGAAATAAAATTGAACCATATGTTAGTCCCAAAATGACCTAGTTGGTGTCGAGTGGATGTTAAACCCCATTTCTCTTTCCCAAATTGTGTTAGTCCGAAAATCTCTCTAGTCCCAAGATATCTCCCTCCCCTTCTGGGACATCCCAGAGCGCGCTACTGGTGGTGGTCAGTGGCCATCAAACAACAGTATTTAATCAGATGAAACAGATCAGAATGATGGGGGGGGGGTTTGAGATGGCCAAGTTGTCTAGAGTGTCGCGCTCCTTGCTCTAACTGGCCAGTCACCTCTGGCTTGCGGTCGTGGTTTCGATGCCTGGTGTGTGGATATGTGGCTTAGAGATAGGGGGCGCCTTCCCAACCTCATGGGTTTCCTCTCACAGGAAAGATCCCTGCGCGTGCCCTAAGATAATAAAAATGAAAATAGGACAACTTGTCTGCGATATCAACATCGGTAGAAGTGGACGTTAAACACAAAGAACAATCAGAATGATGTAATTTTGTGTATATATATATATATTTATCTACATTGTTTGTAGTTTTTTCAGACAAAAAAATAAAAAGATCAGAAAATTAATTAAAATACAATGTTTCACATATTGTAAAACAGTACAAGAAATCATTGACAATGTAATACAATGTAATACAATGTTTCATCACATATTGTAATACAGTACGAGAAATCATTGACAATATAATACTTATTATAATTTTATAGAATAATAAATAATATGCATGAAGTCTTGAGATAAGTTGACAAAATGTCACTTTACTGTGAAAGATCATGTTCAGGCTCCTGTGCAACATAATATACAGGCCCCTGTTAAAGATCATGTTCAGGCCCCTGTTAAAGATCATGTTCAGGCCCTTGTTAAAGATCATATTCAGGTCCCTGTTAAAGATCATATTCAGGCCTCTGTGAAACATAACATTCTAGTTCCTGTAGAAGATCAGGTCCCTATGATAGATCACGTTCAGGTCCCTGTTTAAGATCATATTCAAGCCCCTGTAAAAGATCAGGCCCCTGTTTAAAATTATATTCTGTCTCATGTTAAACATATGCAGGTTTCTGTTAAAGATCATATTCTGGCCCCTGTTAAAGATTGTGTACAGACTCATGTATAAGATCATATCCAGACTCAGGGCTGTGAAATAACGTGCACATGGCTGATAATAAAATATAAATAATAAGTAAATTTTAATTTGATTAAATCCTGTAAACTTGATCAGTAAGAAAATTTTAGCACCTCAAACATATTTAAATTATTCATTTTTCACTTGAAACTTTTCCTAATAAATTGGAGCTGCTATAGTTGATTCTAGCACTGAGAATATAATTAAGATTTTCTTTACGTGAACCCGTTGTTTTCATGTCAACTTAAAGGAAACTGTTCATTAATCTTTGTTTGTCCTTCATTCGTGTAATTTGTCATTGTCACTGTTGTACTTGTCGGTGGCACGGACGTCACATGAGTGACAAATCGATGTCGTGTCATGTATTGTATGCCATGAAAGTCATCCTTAGCCTCTGGCAACTCTCTAAAACAATGAAACTTCATCGCCTCGAGCAACTGATCCTGCACCTGCGGAAATTTCTTAAAAGCGTAATTTTTCTGTAACTGATACAAAACACGTCTGTTGAGTAACGGGTAACGAATGTTTGACAGAATTGCCTCAATTTGTTTCTTATCACTTATTTTATTCTTTTTCATCCAGTCCGTGGCAGCCATTAGCACAAGGTTCTCGTCTTCGCACTCATTATCGCGAATTAAATCGCGCACCGTCTCCCAACAACATGATGTCCAACAAACACTTTTAGTAAGTTCACGAAATCTCGTACATAAGACACGGAATGCTATTTTTTTAACTTCCTCTGGATGAACTGGATTGTCACACAATTCACTGATGGCTTCGATACTGAATCCTTTCGCCATTTGAACGTCACTTACGTTAAAACTGGTGGTGATCAGAAGTTGCTGAATATAACTCTCACAATGCGACGCAAGCGGACGAACTGAATATTTATTCGCCAGTTTGTACAGCGCTATGACGTAATCGCGATGCAACCATACGGCACCGCTGTAGATAAAATATAAAAATCGACTAAACACTAAAGTACAATCCAAAGATTCTTGAAAGTTTAACGTGGGTTTCGTACCAGGTTCCGTGACGAGTTTATTTAACATGGATGCCAGGATGTCACTCTTCATACTCAGAATCATTTTATGAGCGTGGAAGATGCTGTGTCCGTCATTTAGATTCAGAATGACGTCACTCAAGCTCTCGTTGTCGAATAACGATTCAAACGATTGCGACGTCTTAACCTTCTTGCTGCATCCGTCGCTAAGACTAGCTTGTTCGTCATCACCTAGTGGAGGCTTAGACGGGTCAGGGTATTGCCGCAACATGGGTGGTGCACTGTATCTCTTTAATCTTTTCGCCATTCATTTTCTAAAACGGAGGGTAAGTTATACCCTGTTATACCAGTTGCCTGAAAAATATAAAAAAAAAAAAAATATCAGTGAAGTTACAACTCTTGGACATTGAACCGCACAAATATTGGTTGAACTATTCATTATAGTCTTTCGAATGAGACGAAAAACCGAGGTCCCGTGTATATATTGGATTGCACGTAAAAGATCCCCTGGCAGTTGGAATTCGATATAAGACTAGGCGATAGTGCCGCTGCCCGGGCAAAATTTCCCTCATACCACACTGTATGGCGTATGCCCGTCTTCATTAGCCCAGTATAGGAGCAGAACAGTAGGACGTTAAACCCCATTTCATTTCATTTACTTATTATAGAATTCAATATCAGACGAAATCAAAAGCGCAAATTCTATTAAAGGTCATAAAAAGTATCTCAAAACCGAACTTTTTAATCAAGTATACAACTGATTGAATACGGTTCTAGCTGTGTATGTGTCAGACTTTTACCATGTGTACTAAATAATGTTCTCTGTTTTTTGTTTATGTCTTTTTTTATGGATTAATGTGTTGTGATTGTTGTAATTTTATATTAGTTGTACTTATGTAAAGCACCCGAGAGCAGCTCGCTAAGTGGAATTGTTGGCATTATATAAATTGATTATTATATAACTAGAGGTGATGGTCACAGGAATTATGACAATTATTGGTCTTCTGTCTATTCCACTAAACAACTTTTAGATATTAACGGTCATACAATAATCTCAATATTGCAATCTGTAGTACAATCAATATTCATATCCTTTCAATCACATATTTATATATTCAGCTTAAATGATGTCTGGTGATATTATACCCCCTCCCCTGTCCAAGTCAAATAATTGTGTAGGTCTATAACCTTGTATTTAACACTTCTCACTACAAGTAATAATATAATATACCAGGATTGTTGACGAGATGTTCTGTATAATATAAAAGACTGATTTTATATGTATATATAATATTGATGATTATGTGTGATTGATGATGTATATTGATGATTATTTTATATAATATTATCTCATCCAGACACATCAATTATATTATATCACATATATTAACATCATATATTAAAGTGGATAAATCTCCAACTCAATATCCTTCACAGTCTTCGGCATTGAACATACAAATTATTTGTCATCAACATTGGTCTTGTGATCTTACAGGGAAAAGATGGGCTTCTGATATCCAATATTTAAGACAATATATTAATATTATATATTAAAGTAGCTAAGTCTCTAACTCAATATCATCCACAGTCTTCGGCATTGAACATACAAAATATTTGTCATTTTAAATCAACATTGATGTTGTGATCTTACCGTAAAAGTTGGGCTTCTGATATCCAATATTTAAGACAAAATAAACATTTTACCATTTGTACACGAATTGTGTACCATAATGCGCTTCAGCGCTATATGTAACAAGGGACTCTAAGAACAAGACTAGAAATATTCTTGTCTGGAGAGCATGTGCAATAAATACTACCAGTGTAGACTGGAATAACCAGATGCTAGAGATTGCCATTCGATTGAGACTTCTGGCGTATTTCACCGAACCTAACTGATTAGAAATTAGAGTAATTAAAACCACTAATTGGTGGGGAAGAAAAACGTAGCTGGCCACTCCCGAACTCTCTCTCTCTCTCTCTCTCTCTCTCTCTCAACTTACACACTACAGATTAAAACTGAAAAAAGTTGAAAATGAGTTGAGGAGGATTGAAAAGAGATTTAATTTAAATAGAAACTTTCATTTTCTGATGCAAAAATGTGAGTGAACACAATTTTAAAAGAATTAAAAATCAAAAGTATCTAATTTTCACCATTGAAAACAGAATAAGCTAATATTTTCATTATGTAAAGCCAAACTTTTCATAGTTATGGATGGGTGGTATATATATAATCTATGAAATTTAGTATAATTCTTTTAAGAAAAACATTAAAATTCTGGATAAGCACTCTCATATTCCTGCCTTATCTTAAGAGTTCTTGTTAATTGAAGACATTTGTTGAACCTGTTGTATGAATTATCGTTATATAAAAAAAATATCAAATGATTTATTTTGCGACATTTATTACTATTTGTGGGGGAGGGAGGCGCCAAAGTGGTTCTGTAAGTAGGTCAGTCACTGGCTCACTAACCGGGAGAGCTTGGGTTGAAAAGTACTTTGGGATTTTCCAGGCTTGTTTCCCCGTTGTCAATGTTTGGGGACGGAGAGTCTGTCAAGGAACATAGTCTGTATTTAAAGATTTATAAACTTAATTCTAAAATTCTAAATCCTGTCTTTAACATTATTAATGCTACAAAAAAACATACATCTTTCAGTTTCAATTACCTCGACATGAAGTCATACACATAAATTTTAAATATTTAATGATTATTTACAAGTAGCCAGACGACAAGCAGACGACAGGCAGACCTAACATTAAAAGCAAAAACATGTGGGACTATAGACAAATGGCGTAAACAGGATTTTCCCAGATAGGGGTAGAGGGGGGTAAATCCACAAATTGTAACTCCTAAATTCAGTATTTCCTGGAGCCTTACCTTACATGAATGTTAAACATCCCCCACAACCTTGGGATATGCTTAGTTCTCCCTAGAACACTTATACTGCTGCCTTGAACCCCTTGCTGCTGCCTTGAACCTCTTGCTGCTCCCTTGAACCCCTTAATGCTCCCTTGAAACCCTTAATGCTCCCTTAAATCCCTTCATGCTCCCCTGAACCCCTTAGTGCTCCCTTGAACCCCTTAATGCTCCCTTGAACCCCTTAATGCTCCCTTGAATCCCTTCATGCTCCCTTGAACCCCTTAATGCTCCCTTCAACTCCTTAATGCTCCCTTGAACCCCTTAATGCTTCCTTCAACCCCTTAATGCTTCCTTCAACCCCTTAATGCCCTGACTACTCCCTTGAACCTCTTAATGCTCCCTAGAACCCCTTCTGCTTCTCAGAACACCTTAATGCTTCCCAGAACTCTCCACAAAGCTATACGCTAGAAATTCTACACATATTTAAAAATACATGAAATAACCTAAAGTTGTTTTTAAAATGTCATCAAATGAGCGACAAGCTGCTTGTCTTTTGTGATCAAATATTAGAGTGGTTAGCCCGGAGTTTGACTGGATGCCGTGGGTTTGACGGGGTTTAATTTAGCGACTGGTAGAACAAGACATAACTCATGTTGATTGACTGATCAAACAGCCATAAAGACTGTCAAGCCTTTTAAACTTCATCGAGTTGTTTGTGTTAAAGTACAAAAAAGAAATTCTTGAAATTTAAAAAAAGTTAAAATAAGATTCAGATCGTTATGCAAATAGATTGGTTGAATGTTTGTATGCAATTAAAGTGGACACTTTGTCTCATGCACTTAATGTGAACCGCATGTTGTATGCAATTAAAGTGAACAGTTTTGTATATGCATTTAAAGTTACCAGTTTTGTATATATGCAATTACATGTAATATGTACAATTTCTCTGTATACAATTAATATGCTAAGTTTGCATTTGTTTCTATGCAATTAAAACGTTCAGGCTTTTTTTATGCAATTAAGGGGCGTTGGATGGCCGAATGGTTAGCAAGTACACAATGCATCATAAGGTCTGTCATTGAGTCAACTGGCATGGTTTCCAGTAGGGTCGTTTGTCCAACTTCGTGGGTTTCCTCTCGTTTCCTCCCACTGTTAAAGACCCCTACGTGGAAGAGCAAATTATTGAAATATAATTGAACCATATGTTAGTCCTGAAATAACCTAGTTTGTGTCCAGTGGAGTTAACCCCCCTCTGTCTCTCTCTCTCTCTCTCTCTCTCTCTCTCTCTCTTTCTCTTTGCAATTAAAGTGTCCAGGCTTTCTCTATGCAATTAAAGTGCCACGTTTTTCTGCCTAAAATATGTGTGTAACTAAACACATGTATATGCAAAGACTTATCATTTTCACTAAAAAACAAATGTTTGACATTTTAAGCAAGAGTATTTTTATTTTAAGAGATAAGAGGACAATGGAAACTTATTCAGATTCATTTTACTTTTTCTGTCTCTTTCAAATAACATTTAATATATTTTCTCCCGAGTCAGCATTTTCTTTCTTAAATCAAAAATTGTTTCTTACGATAAGTAAACGCTTGTATTATGATGTTTTCTCTTTGTGAAATAGGGATATCATTTAATCACCAATAGGGGTTTCACATAGGCTAAACCTGTTCCCCAATCCCATTCCCAGATATTCTCAATAAAAATGTTGTTTAAAAAATGAATATCACAGACAATCGATGCTTTTTAAAAACCTGGTGTTTATTTATAGAGGCAGATAAAAAAGTAGATGAATTTGCTTTTATTTTGTTTTAATAATGAACGATTAATTTAAACCTTTCTATTTTGACATGTTTGTTGCCCATCTTGTCTTTAGATATTTGGTAGGGAATTTTTTTTTAGGTTTTTTTTTATATTTAGATTTATGTCTTTTCATGTCAATATTTTTATTCCCGAAAATCATTTCTACTGTAAATGTGGGAGCGACCACGTCAACAACCCCCTTTTTTTTTGTCTGAATTATGATTCGGTTTATAAACAATGTCTGGCATTTATCTGTTTTCAGAAACAGGATTGTATACATGTCATGATGTTTTTTAAAGTATTTTTAGTTAATATTTTTGGGGATTTCTAGCCATTTTGATAAACAATGTCAGCAAATTATCCAATATGTGGATTCAATGTTGTATGTTTTTTTATTTATTTGTTAATTTACCGAGTTTTAAATTAGATTTTTTTTGGCGATTTGAGGATTAGAATTTTTTTTCTTTTTTATTTTCTGAGTTTTAATTTCAATTTTTGACGATTGAAGTTGGTTTATAAGGAATTTGTGTACTAGTAAATATGTACGTTTAATAATGTTTATTAGTGGAGCGACAAATATTGCATAAGTGGCGACAGCCGTAGTTGGTAGACACTGGGTCGTTTGATCAATGACGATTGTGTTAAACTGAATAAATACGTTTAATCCCTGAGCTAACTCGTTTGTCTTATACATC